GGGGGGGATTTTAAATTTAGTGGGAAGATGCTTTCAGTGCTTGTCAATGTGACCTGTTTACATAATCAGTTAACTATGTTACTAAATTTGGAAATAAACCTTCTGTCTTACTGCTTCAGGAAGCTTTGCTACAGCTCACAAAAAAGAGCTTCAGGAGGCTTTGCTAAACCCAATATACTACATATGCTAAGATTTGGCTGCATGAAGATAGTTTATGAATGTATAATGGTTTTTATGTATTCATCATCTTGTTTCTCTTTATTGCTAATTAGAGGACTAACTAGAGTAACATGCAGTTGCCATTTTAAGTTCTATACAGACATTTCGGTTTTAATTAATTGACTGGTTAAATTGCTATAATGCTAGAGGATAGCTGTGTGGTAAAAGTTTTTGAATTGATAAAATCCTATAGAATAAGGAGAATAAAGAAAAATCAAGATAAACACTTTCTTTTCTAAATTTGTAAGAGTATCATAGTGACTGTAGATCTTAGTTCATCAAACAAAAAGAATAGTAATGGAGTACCATTTCAAAAAAAAAAAAAAAACCTCATGGAGTAAAAGGATTCATTCTGGAAACTTGATATTATATCGGTTTGAATTTAGTTAGGTGGAATCTTAATTTGGAACTGGATGATGAGATCACAAATATATAATTGATTTTTCTCGTTTGTCTACTAGGTCCAAACCTACAGAAGATTATTGATGACAGCTGTACAGAAGTTGATTCCAGTTCATCTGATTTTTGGGTGATGGTAGCAGCCCTGAAGGTAACGTGCATTTTCTTGGGAAAAAACATAAACAAGAAGGAAGTTGGAAAACAATTTCTGGAATTATTGCAGCTTTGGTTGATTTAACCTGATTAAAAGAACTATTGACGAGTTGACAGCTCTACTTAAAACATGATTTTGGTTGCTGATGTTTTGTAATTCTTGTCCATTTCATTAGCTCTAAATAGCGAATTGACATCTTAACTAGTCCATACAATTGAATTATTCATCTTACAAAATTAGTCCGTGCAATCGATGGCTTTTTTCTTTTTGTTATAAGCAAGCATAGCATTGACAATTAGAATTGATGGCTTTTTAGTTGATTGTAAAGGTTGCAAGTACCAGTCCCACTGGTTCTTGTGGCGGAGCTTCTTGTACATGTTTTAGTTTCTCCGTATAAAAAAGAAGCATGTTTTAATTCTTCCTTCAAAATTTTCCTTGTTTGCCTTTTCCCTTCAAAAGATCAAGGGGGCAGGGGGAGGAGATGGAGAGAAGATCCTTTGCGAAGTTCTTCACCTGAGTTAATGTGGCAACAATGTGTAGGCCTAAGGCTTTGACTTTGTCTTCTGTGGGCCTTTGGTCTTCTGACTTCTGACTTCTGTGTCTTCGTTGCTAGTCTGCATTTGCACCAGAAAATTTGATTTACTGGGTGGACTAAAACAAGTGTAGTTTAATTTGGGAACTAATTTGAGATTCTTTGAAAAATAATCTTCCCAATAGTCCATGGCATTCTTACCCGGTACCTGTGTTGGTGGGAGATAGCAGGTACCCCATGGAATTAGTCGAGATGCGCACAAGCTGGCCTGGATACCACGGCTATGAAAAAGAAAAAAAATAAATAGTCCATGTCATTCTTTTAATGTTTCATATGCTATTTTGTATATGCATTATTCTTTTAGAATCCACAGGAAAGTAGCACCTTGTCTCTCTTCATCTGTTTGCACTTTTTCCTTTTTCAGCAAATACATAATTGTTAGTACTAGTCTTTATCAAGCAACCTACTCAAGTTCCCTTGACTGATATTTCTTTGCATTGGTTGAAGTTGGTGATCGATATGGTTTATTTTTTTGCACTTTAGGAATTCATAGCTAATGAAGGTGGTGGGGAGACACCTCTTGAGGGGTCAATACCAGATATGACATCATCAACTGAGTTAGTGGTTTAAGTTTCTTCTCGACACATTAAGTTTTAGTAAGATTTACAGGAGTTTATTTATTGATGCTTGGACTGTTGGCTCTATTGCAGATTGTACATAAACCTGCAAAAAACTTACCAAGCCAAGGCCGAGGCTGATTTTCTTGTTATGGAGCAGAAGGTCAGGAATTTACTCAAGAAAATCGGTAGAGATCCAGCCAGCATCTCCAAGGCAAATATAAAGAGCTTCTGTAAAAATGCAAGGAAGCTTGCTGTAAGGGCGTTTCTTCTTTTCTGTTTCGTTAGTCTGAAAGTTCATTCATCTAGAATTACTTCTCTGTGCTACGTGAATCTCATTTCAGTTTGACAATTTGGAAAACATTGTATTTCTTGCTATAGAAACCATAATTTATCAATATGTTTGACCCTGATTAAGAGGGACTCCTCTGGTTTTAAGCTTGATGTTTTGTGGTATGAGTATGTGATCCTGACTGTCTGTTTCTTTTTTAAAGCTATTCCTGTGACCCGGCTCCATCCCCCTCTGTCCATATGGTCAAATTTGGTTTCATTCTAAGGAGCCATCCAGCAAAGGCGCTAACTATTAAATGTGCTACCTTGCTTAGCACATGCCTTGTAAGTTCTTCACTACAGTTGCAAAGGGGGTGGATCCTGTTAGGCAGAGGGATGCTAGCTTAGGAACACACATTTCTTGGTTTTGCTCCCTTATTTTGATTTGGGCAGTTGTCTAGAAGTGCTCAATTGCCTTAGAAACTATATGCTTCAAAAAGTGTGTTCAGCTATGCTCTGTGTGTGTGTGTGGGTGGGGGTGGGGTGGGGGGTGGGATCTTAAAATCTCCTTCTACATGCATGATTTTAGTGGACGATTTGTTGTTAGTATCAAGATAATGACTGTTGCAACTGAATTTTCAAGAGACTGCGCTAACATGATGGTGCATTGATTAGGATGTCAACAATTCTCACTGCTAATTGTCAGCAAACTCTGTTTAACATTTGAAATCATTATTGGATGGATGTTTTAGTTTCTTGTCATTGAAATTTTCTCTTTCCATTATGTTAGGTTTGCAGATATCGCCTCATTGAGGATGAGTTCAACTCTCCTGTCCAACCTGAGTTACAGAAGTATCTGATAGATGAGGATTATGGGTATGTAATTTCTTACTGTAGGAATATGGATTGACATTGTCAAATGACCTCAAGTTGGAATAGTCATCTGTGATATAAGTTGAAGTAGAGAGGGCTTCTTGGGGTCATTTAAGCTGTTCGAACCAACATGATCCTTTCATGATTCTTTGATTGTTTTGTGATACCAAATAACAGGACCTTGCAAGAAGCCAACTCTCTTAAAGTACTTCCTGAAAAGTAAGTTTATCCAAGCTAAAGCCCCCTGCCATTTCATGGTGGATATTCTTTTTCTAAATCCATTTTCCAAGGCTTCTAGTGAAGTCGCATATGAACTTTCAAATGTTGAAGAATATAATTTTTTCAAAGACATAATTTAGGTTATTTGGACCTTTTCTGCTGAACTAGGAGTATTTCAAGTTTTTTAATGAGGGATCTCTTTTCTTAAGGTGTCCGCTTACTTGGATTGATGGAGTGCACTATCTAGTCTAGATGCCTCAATGTTTTCAGCTAACTAGGGTTTGATTGAAAACTACTTACTTTGCAAGTTATGTTCACCTTTTATTAAACAAAACAAATTGAGCAAAAATGTAAATAAGCAGTTATAGGACTAAATTTCTAGTGATGCTAATCCAAGCGTTACTGGCAGCTCGGGAGGAATAAAATAAGGTTGCTGATTCGTACTGCATAAGTATTTTGGATTAGATATATAGCTATATTTTGTTGAGCAAGCATTAGGATGGTTCAAGATTTAGTTTTATCTTTTGTTGGTTCCCTTTCAGTTTGTCTTAAATGTTTCTTGGAGATTGTGTATTTTTGGTTCTTTCAGTAATCATGCTGATAGTGCACCTGCTTTCCACTTCTTAATATTTGCAATGGTATCTTGTACTAAATTGAAGGTAAATAGTT